GGAATGCCTTCGTGGTGTGGTGGTCTGCACGCTGGGCGCGTATTCTAGAGGTCCGCGGTTCGATTCCCGGCGAAAGCGATTTCTCATTTTTTATTTCCTTTGCTTCCAAAAATAATCCTAATGTGGTGCCCCAACTAAAAGGGTGCTGGATGATGATTCTCCCCATCCAGAATTTGGCGATTGGGTCCCCTAAAAGCCCCAGTCACCCTTTAAAGGGGGGAAATATAAGGTATTTCTCCCGCCTTCTTATCATATTTTCGTGGTATAGTGATCAGCACAATAGGAGCGTATTCGAGAGGTCGGAAGTTCGAATCCCGGAGAGGACATTGCACATTTTTTATTTCCCCTGCTTTGAAATAACCTAATGTCTCTACAAAGTCACATGCACAAGAATTACGGCTGATGAAATGCAATATCAAAACTCATTTCAACCGAAAAGCTTATTATTATTGGTGTTATAGACTATCCAAGTTAAAATAATTTATGTTAATTTATTCATATTAATTTATGTTAATATATGTTATTAATGAATTTTGATTGCTTTCTTTTCTCATATACTACATGTGTTACCAACTACATTCAATTTTAAATTTTCTTCCAAAGATAGTACTCGCTGTATTACTGATGAGTTATGGTACACGATGTTGAAATCTATTGACTTGCAGTTCGTTCCAGCCATGAACCGCGAACAGTAAGTAAAAGTATAAATTTCACTCTTAACTGTCTTTTAATGAGTTCATAACTCTTATAACATAGATATTTCTCTCTCATCACTGTTGGGAAAGAATCGGCCAGTGACATCATGATATCAATCGGCCGTGGCAGTGAAAGCGACATAAAATTCGGGTCGCGACCCAATTTCAAATCACAACTTTTCCTTCTCTGCCGATATAGACGGCTGCATCCACATATTGACGACAGCCTTTTTTGCATTTCTCGCTACAAAATAAGATTAAAAGCCAGTGCACGCGCCCATGAGAAAACAGTGGGAAAAGAAACAAGCGCTGTTCACCCAATGATTGGTTAATTGATACTGCAAACCTTCAAGACGTGAACATAGTTACGCGAATTACGCAAGTTTAGACAAACCTCAATTGCCGTCTCGCTCAGGTAGTTTTCCAATTAAGCAGATTAGTTGACTTTGAAGACTGTTCACCTCTTGAGAACTGCTATGCTAAAAGGAAGCTGAGTGATCACTTTGTAGGGGAAAATATAGTCGATGTTTGCTGGAGTGATACAGCTCGTTGCCCAAGGAGCATATTTAGAAACAGGCGATGGAATTTTCCCATATCTTCAGCGCAGGCCTAAATTATCATGTTTCTGGGAGTAATACATACTAGAATTTGGCTTAAGTATTTATTCATGAAAAATTTGAAAGCCAACCTAAAAATAAATGAAATAATAGTTGCCAAAATAATATTTTGTCCTTACAATAAAATTATAGATAGATAATGACATTATGATAAAACATGGCGAGAAGCAATCTGAGGCGTCTGAAAAGTAGCAGTTTCATTTATAGCTTGAGTACAGGCAATAGGGTCTATTGATTAAATTTATTTCATTATAATATAAATGCAGGCTTATTTTTGTTTTATGTAATTTGCTCCCACACATAGCTCTCATACATCTGCTACATAGCTTCGCAGTCCTCATAAGCTTTCTGATGTTAAACAACAAAAATTGACCCACGTTGTGTAAAAGATAATATCCATGTTTTATTATTGTGGTTTATCACATTCCTTCGTTTAGTAACTGTTCGGATGTAATTTTTTCTTTTTTTATTTCAACTGACACTTGCGGCCACAATTCACTTGACACTCCAATTATGCCTATTTCCATAATATTTACATTTTTGATATTGCTGGGACAGGAAGGAAACACCGCGGCAGCGCTTCAGCGGCAACATAGGTAAAAGCAAAGTGTGTATTTATACAGTATGGCAACATATTAAGAGAAATGCTTTGCTTCTCCAACCTTTGAGTTCAAGTTTCGAATTAGCTACGTCATAAGCTTTGTGTAAGAATTAATATAGAAATGATGCAGTCCAGACAAAAGTTGTTACTATTTTTAGAATAGAGAGTGTAAATAGTCAAATAAAATGAGAAATTAAGGGACTATTGCTAATTTAACTTATGATTTTGATTTACATGTTTTATCTCATATATAGATATAGATATAGATATAGATATTTGAAAGTATTGTTCTCATTTTTTCCCATGGTATAAAAAAAGTTGTCACCGTCAAACAAGGATTTGTGAATAAATGCCAAGATTTTGTCCAAACCTTATTTGGAAACTTTTATCAGTAATATGCACCGAACATATATTTTTTTATTATGCGCAAATCATGATATAAACGTTTTTAAACTCATTTAACATTAGTGAAGTAGCAAGCATTTTTTTAGTCATAATATCTTTAAAGATTCATTTAGGTTAGGTTATTTGAATATGTCCAAACTACTCGAAGGTTACCTGCCTAAGGGAAGAGATGCTTCCGTGGAGGACTTTCTAAGGGAAACTGGCTCGTATTTATGAATAACATGAATAAGATGGCCGCACACGTCTCATTTTTGAACGGGCGTAGGAGTACGTGGGGGCATATTAGAAATTGGAACTCTATTAGCAGCTACAGGTATGACATTCTGAATAGCTTTACGAGCTTTAAAAATAGCGAGTTTAACAATGTTACATAGTAAAACACATAGTAAAACATCAGATCAGATCAGACCATTCATGTCACATGATCATTCATGTGATTATCAGATTAGATCATTCATGTCATATAGTAAAACATCAGATTTGCATACAACATCGGAGATTAATATTAGATCATTATTATAGATCAATAAATTAAGAATACTGTTATCCAATAATTTCATTTCACCCAACAAATCCGAAAACGAATCACAAGAGTATTCTAAATCATCATTATTCACATCTTTCGAGCCATCTTTATTAGCGTCTGTGAAAAACTTCGTAATAAAGTTGAACATTCTTTCGTTTCGTTTAAGAAGGGTAACATCATCTATATCGTCACCTTGAAACGACATTTCAAGCGCAAAAGTAAGGAGACAAAATGTTAAACGGTATAATTAAACAAAATAAACACCACACTTGCCTCTGATTCGAGAAAACAGCATCATAAATGTTCATAATCCTAACATCTATAAAGTTTGGACACCAAAATATTGCGTTTATATGCACATTTTATTTCGTTATTCAAAACATACAATAGTTCTAAACATAAACATATCATTCTTGCATTTTTTGTTCCATTCCTATATTGTGAAGTTATAATTTATTTTCTCCCTCCTTCCAGCATGCCTTCGTGGTGTAACGCTAGCACACTCGGCGAGAATTCAGGAGGTCCAGGCTCGAATCCCGGCGAGGGCATTGCCCATTTTTCACATCTGCTTCAAAATAACCCAATGATTCTAAAGTGACTCCCGAAATAAAAAAAAAGGTGGTCAAAAACAATTCGTCACCACCAAGATTTGGCGACTGTATCCCTTAATCCCCAGTCGCCCTTTAAAGGAGCTAGTATATAAGATATTTTCTGCCTCCTTCCAACATGCCTTCGTGGTGTAACGGTAGCACACTCGGTGTGTATTTGAGAGGTCCAGGTGGTTCGAATCCAGGCGAGGGCACTGCACATTTTTTATATCTCCTGCTTCAAAATAACCCAATGATTCTACCGATAGTTAAACTTGAACCATTTCACTAGTTACCGATAGTTAAACTTGAACCATTTCATGGAGATGAAGAATAGTTTCAATGTTTGGGCAGCAATTTAAATCTTCTATCGAGGATAACCCAAAATCTGTCAGCCATTGATAAACACGTATTTTTGTGCAGTTTTAGAAGATGAACCTAAGAGATTAGTTGGTGAAATGCATATTATCGCAGACACTTACAAGACTACAAAACAAATTCTGAGTAACAAATACGGTGATGAAAATAGAATAATTCAAGGTCATCTTAATTTTTGGGGGAACACTACGCTTATATGACATCCATCACTTACAGACTTGAATAACGTTTAAAATGAGTGCAATCAGCGGCTGCAGGCTTTAACTGCTTTAGAGATAAAATACTGAAGTATGCGATCGTGTCTTAGCATCTGAAATTTTATGTGCGTTTCCGGATGACATGTGTAGAAGATGGATTATTCATGGCAAATGAGGGAAAATTTGGAAAAGGGATATTATCGTGCTGCAGCAGTTTCTCGCAGAAGATATGGAAGAAGCACTTACGGCTCTAAAGATGAAAAGGAAGAAACCAGTTGATTATACATTTAATTATTCTACAAGAGCTCTAAATATCACCTCTAAAACTCAAAATCATGCGAAGAAACCTTTAACTTTTTGCCCATTCTATGATACTAATGGACATTAGCCTCAAAACTGTGAAACTACAACTGATACTGTGTTCGAAAACTTAAGAGTGCTGAGAAGTATTTCTTATATAAGAATTGAGGACATAATTTTAAAATTTGCGGTCGCAAAGAAAAGGCTTTCTGCATTAAATTAAAAAAGAAGCACCATGTTTCAATTGTTATTACTAAAACATAGTCTTATCATTAAATATCATTAAAATAAAAATACTTCCTTCACTCATCCCAGATACCGAGCAATCCAGAAAAACTAAAGACAAAACTTGCTCACTTACCTGGGTAGTGTTGTGATGTTGAATCTGTAATAAAAACTCTAATATGTTGATTTATCTAATTATATTCTCTATCTATACTACAAAATATATACATTTTTTAACAATTGTTCGGGAAATTTTTCTGGCCCCTAAAGTTATTACACATCTTAATCAGTTCACGTCACGAGGTCGAAAAGGGGAAAAACTCTTTTTCTCTTCCTACTTCAATGACAGCCAACGCCATCTGTGTCTCGTACATCAAAATGAAGAGATTTGTTTTTAATATTTGTTAGATACAGCTAATCAGTTTCACAACACTCCCACCTTTTTGATTTTCAGAAGGAAAATCAAAAATCAAATAATGGTATCCTTAGTACAGGAACACACTTCTAGAGGATACAGTTTACGTACAGGACGAATCAGTATACCATTTCTAGTTTTCACTTTTACAACTCTTACACGTCCATCTCTGCTTGTACAAAGTTCTTGGACACGAGCAATTGGCCAGTTCACTCTTTTAAGGTTCTCACAACCTATTAGCACGATGTCTCCAACTTTTAATTCACAGTCCGTCTGTCCATGCTTTTGTACTAACTGTCCAAGGTACTCCTTGCGGAAACGGCTACGAAATTGTTCTCGAAGTTCCTGGCAGAAACGCTGACGAGCCAAGAGTTTATTTCGATCTAAAGCATCCAAATCTGCTGTACCTGAAACCTTAATGTCCTGTAAGAACATGGAAGGCGTTAATGGTAGAAGAAGATCCTCAGAGTCATTTGACACATAAGTTAGTGGTCGACAGTTTATTACGGCTTCCACATCACAGATGATGACGGTGAGTAACTCTTCGTAATTGACTGCAGCTTGTCCTAAGACTCTCACAATCAAATTCTTGGCTGTGCGGATTAGACGCTCCCACCATCCGCCCCACCAAGCAGCAGTGGGCGGAATGAACTTCCAAGTGATGGGATGCAAAGTTTCCTGAGCAAATTACCTTTACCCAGTCAACCTTTTTTCAGCAATGCAGATGTACCGACGAAAATTTGTGCCGTTGTCTGAGTAAACTATGGATGGCCGACCTCTTCTGGCAATGAACCGACGAAACGCTTGAATGAAGCATTCGGTACTTATGAATGTCACTAGCTCCAAATGTACTTATCGATACACAGCAGATGTAAACAGTACTACCCAGGCTTTGTTTTTATTTTTGAGACTCAGAGGGCTACATAAATCTATGTCAGCAACTTCAGATGCGAAAGCATCTCGAACTCTCTCTAATGGTAATTGAATGGGTGCAGTAGTTGGAGATTTAGCTGAAAATCGTTTACAACGGACGCACTGTTTCATCACCGATCTAATTCGGCGTCTTGCACCAAATGAATCCAGAATTCTTCTCTAATTATAACAGTTAATGCTTGTACGCCGGCATGAGAATGCTTTAAATGGTAATCTCTAATTAAACAGTCAACAATATAATGCTTAGAAGGTAATAAAATCGGGTACCGGAATGCATAAGAATCATCTCGTTCGGTGATTTTCGTTTTTACTCTTCTTAAATACTTAAGCCACTCTGATCTCGTACGGTCAAAAGACCATTGATGGAGTCTCCAGTCTCTGGAAAACTCTTGCCCTGAACAAGTGAAAGAAGTGTGATTTTAGATTCTTGTATCCCGGAAACAGACAGGAAAGGCTCTTGACAATTTTTGATAAATCTCTTTATCCAACATAAAACTCTTAATATTTGTGAAAATTTAGAGAACTTCTCACACCACTTTAACTGCTTTTGTAGTTATACTAAGATTTACATTTAAATTTATGCTTTTGCTGCACTCTGAAAAAAAAAAAAAACTAAACTTTCATTTGGCTTAACCTCTAATTTTGGCCAGCTATCTCTAGGGTCCTTTGAGCCAAACAGGCCCTCTCCTCCAATTTAATTCAGAAAACTAAAGAGGGGAACAACCACGAGAAGGTAAATCAGCTGGGTTAGAATGATCCGGTACATATGACCACTGATTTGCATTAGTGAAAGTGCAAATTTCCTTCACGCGATTGTCCACAAAGTCCCCCACGCATTATTTCTTTTAATCCAAGATATGGCTGTGGTGGAATCGGTCCAAAATTATTTTCGGGATGTCATCCAATGTAAGAGCTTCTGTCACATATTTGGAAAGACGCACGCCCAAAAGACAGGCCATAAGTTCTAGACGGGGAATAGTAAGTTCTTTTAAGGGTGCGATACTTGACTTAGCCATTACAAAACTGACTAATGTTTCTTCTTTAGTTTCGCATCTCAAAAATATTACCGTGGCATAAGCATGCTGGCTAGCATCACAAAATACATGAAGTGTCCAGGAACTTCTATCTCCAAAACCTATACGTCTATTCAACCTGCGGTATTCTCAACTTGTTCAAAATTTGTAATTTATTATACCACCTCGAAAATTTACTTTTGATACTATCTGATAATGGAGTATCCCAGTCTGCTTTTATCGCCCAAATTTCCTGTAGCAGTAACTTTGCAGGCAATAAAACAGGTGTCAAGAAACCCAAAGGATCAAACATTGTCTGCGTTAATGACAAAACCTCTCTTTTAGACAAATTGTCCGAAACCAATACAGTCTTAATTTCAATATAAAGGTTATCTTCTATTTCTGTCCCACATAATTTCCTAAAACTGGTACAGAATTCTCCATTGTGGACTCAGTGCACAAAGCACTTTGGGTTAGTTCCCCATCTTTTTCTACTGGGCCATAGGTCCACATACGTAAGTCCATTTTTGCTTCAGCTAATATTTCAGTAGAAGATTTCACAAAATTCACAAGCTCCTTTTCGTTATCAACAGAAGTCACACAATTATCAATATAAAAGGATTTATTTAATTTCTGAGCAATAGAATTTGTTCCTTTGGTACTTGTGCCAAATGAACTGAAATAAACCGCTCCTAATAAAAAAGGGCTAGACTTTACTCCAAAAACTACCTCGTATGGCGGAAAACCTTCAGTACATTATCTTTCTCCCACCATAAAAATCTTAAAAAGTCCCTATCTTCTTTCCGTAATTCAATCTGTAAAATGCACGCCGGATATCAGAGGTTACGCCAATGCATTTTTCTCTAAATCTTAACAAAATTGAAGGGATTTCTTCTATTAAATTTGGTCCTTTTACTAAGTAATCATTAAGGGAGGGCGATCTATTAACTTTGCATGATGCGTCAAAAAACAGGTCTTATCTTAGTTGAGACACTGTCTGGTTTAAATACTGGGTGATGCGGTAAGTAGTGCCCTTTATAATTCAGTTCATTGTCTGGTACTATTTCAATTACACCCTCCTCCATCCATTCATTAAAAATTCTATCATATTCTTCATATTTATGTAAAGACTTGAGTTTTCGGGTGACACTGAACAATCTTTTTTCTGCTACATGACGATTTGATGGCAATTCTGCGTTATATACTAACCAAGGTAATCCGACACAATAACGACCATCTTCGTTTCTGGAAAGAGAGTTTAAAAATTGTTCGTGGGCAATTTCTTCCTCAGCAGCGTTAGTTGAATTCTGGTGAGCATCTAATATTCCGATCGTTTCTAAACTCCAAAGATCGGAGATTTTCAAAAGTCGTGATCCCACTAAACTTGCACACAAAATGGAAGCATCTTTATCTTTGTGATTAACAAATTCCTCCGATACACCACAAAACTGTCCAACCAAGTTTTTGTACAAACTGCTGTTAGTCCTCCTTTTAATTGTTTTACTGATCCCGTGAGAATTTTTCCATAAATATCACTACCGATGAGCATTTCTATTTTTGGACAATCTGCTCCCAAATCCGACAACCAAATGTTGTTTCGTTTTAATTCTTTTAATATCGGACCCTTGGGTACCCGAAGAGGTATATCCCCACATATTATATGTCTTGATCTAAAAATTCAAATTCTAGATCTGAATACTTACGCGGACTGGCTGAACATAATTTTACCCGAATATTTGTTATGCATCTTTGCTTCTGTTCTGGCACCTCCAAATAAAGTAAGAAACATTTTCTTTGGAAATAATTGGTAACCCCAATTCAGTGGCTAATGATTTCAAAATATACGATTTCTGGGAACCACAATCTAAGAGTACTCTAACATCTTTATGCTTTTTGACACCAGCTACTCTTACGCGTAAAGTCATTAAAGCTACGTCAGCGGTACAAGTTTGCCTGGCTGTAGCCGTATGTATGTAGTCTATTTCTGATTTTTCTGTAGGAAGTTCAGTTTCATTATTAATGTCCGGACACAAAATAACTGAGTGTGATTTACCACAAGCAAGCAAAACACCTAACAAACTGTTTACAGAACTTTGCCATATGATTTGGTTCCAAGCATTTTAAACAGCATTTTTTCTCCTTAACTTTAGAAATCCTTTCATTAAGAGATAATGAACGCGCATCGTAACAATTTTTACTATCATGCATTTTACCACAAAAAATACATGCATGTTCTCTGTTGTAAGAAAACCTGTGGCAGTGGGAACATTTCCCTGTTTCTTAAATTTAAATTTACCTTTTGTTTCCCTCTTTGCTTTATCATGATATCCTTCTTTACGACTAACATTATCGAGTCCATTACGCGCCAATTTTAATCTCTCCTCACCCTCCACTTCAGACTTTAAAAATTTCATTAAGTTGGTAAGGCGAGAAAGATCAGTTCCTTCAGGCTGGTTAAAAAGCGAACTCCTTTGCCACGCCTTTAAAACATCCCCTGTGAGACACGATTCCACCATCGGGAAATAACCACGATGCGTTTTCGCTCGATTTAAGAACCTAAAGACTTCTAAGGCTCTCAACTGAGCTTCAATTTTATCAATACAGTTTATCAAGAGGTAATTTATCCTTTTGATCTGCCTTCACATTAGAAACAATTAATTTAATTAGTTCCCTAACATACACTTCTACTAATAATTCAGGTTTCCCAAAACGTTCCTTCAAAGCTAAAACAGCTTTATCATAATTTTCCGAAGTCACCGGATAGCTTTCAATGAATTCTTAACACGTGATCCGGGCTTCATACACTGAATCAAATAGGAAAATTTGTCACTTTCATATAAATCAGGGTCAGTGTGAATTTTCTCAAACTGCGACCAAAACGGTAGCCAATTTATCAATTCCCCATCAAACTTCTTAAGTTCGATTTTCGGAAGTCTATACTGTTTAATCTTACTACAACAAATACCAGCACCATCATTTGGTCTTGTTTCTAAATTGATTTCATCTGAAAATTGCAATTTTTCATTAATTTGCCGAGTTAGTGTTATGAAATCATCAGAATACACCTCGCGACTTTCGATTTCTTTAGTAACATCAATCCTCTAAAGTTTTCCCGTCTTCAGCTAACAAATCAAGAATTTTATCATCTACATTTTTTATATCTGAATATACATTTGTAGTTTAGTAAGTTTATCTCGTACTAAATCTACAGAAAAATCTTCTTTTACTAATTCCGTTTTTAAAATATTAGCAGTTTTTGCAAAAGAAGTGGCGTAAACCTGCCCAATTAAGTTTCAGAGCCTTTAAAGCTTCCATAGTTAACTTTCAAAATAAAACAAAATGCTTTACAAAAAATAGTTTCGAATTTAAAACTTAATTATCCTTTAATACATCAAAAACTATCTATAACCATTAAAATATTTTTTTTAAAGTTTATTTCTTAAGAGTCCTGTCACGGGACGCCACTTTTTGTTATTACTAAAACATAGTCTTATCATTAAATATCATTAAAATAAAAATACTTCCTTCACTCATCCCAGATACCGAGCAATCCAGAAAAACTAAAGACAAAACTTGCTCACTTACCTGGGTAGTGTGATGTTGAATCTGTAATAAAAAACTCTAATATGTTGATTTATCTAATTATATTCTCTCTATACTACAAAATATATACATTTTTTAACAATTGTCGGGAAATTTTTCTGGCCCCGAAAGTTATTACACACTTAATCAGTTCACGTCACGAGGTCGAAAAGGGGAAAACCCTTTTTTCTTCCTACTTCAATGACAGCCAACGCCATCTGTGTCTCGTACATCAAAATGAAGAGATTTGTTTTTAATATTTGTTAGATACAGCTAATCAGTTTCACAACATCAATCTCTAAAAACCTAAATATTGTTCGAATTCCTGTCGCGATTTCTACTAATCAAATAGTTATATTTGCTCCTAACTTTACTCATTTATGAGATGCTCGAATCTAACCACTAACCCAACTAGAATTACTAAACTAACTCGATGCGTTTTAGATAGGGGAAGCCAGTTGAGTTTTAACCACTCCCGTCTAGTAGACATATAAAAATTACTAGTTCGGATACACT